ATTTCGATCCGCTCCTCACGTGTTAACCTCTTCGACATGTCAGTGGCTGTGAACAAAGAGAAACTTGTAAACAACTCATGAAAGAATAACGTTACGTTGAAACCAAGCACACCATTGTTTTTCTTGTGACATTACCAATAAGTTTGATGTGTCACATGGCCCTCTTCCTATTGAAAAAACAAAAGTTGTATCCAAGATGGCGGACTTCTAAATGGCCACCATGGTCACCACCCATCTTGAGGAGTTTGCCCCCTCACATATACTAATGTGCCACAGACAGGACTTTAATATCACCAACCATTCCCATGTTATTACGGTGTATCCATATAAATGGCCCACCCTGTACAATAAAATTCATGTTTTTTTAAAGGACTTAAAATTTAGTTTTTTCTTTAATTTTGAGATTCTTACCTGACACCCCCACCCTCCCCCCACCAAAAAAATAAAAAAAGATAAATAAATACCTTAATTCAATTCAGTTAATTAAGTTAAAGACCCTACAGTATTGGGGGGGGGGCCCTCAACCAGCCATCTGCCCTGACTGGTTGAGGAGAAGGCGACAAGAAAAAGGGAGCATTAAAGCTCACAACTGTTTGTTCAAATCTGTGACATTTTGCAGCTACATTGCTTGTGCAAGTAAGTAAGTTCCTAATAGGTCATAATATTTTGACAGCTCCTGATTATTCCAGCTGTGACTAATAGCAAGAGCACTACGTGCAAAATGGGGGGTATTTGCATTCAAAACAGAACAACAGATTGTCACAAGACCAAAGGATATTGAGAAACTAAACAGAGGTTGCCTAATGGCTAGGTTAGGATGGGTTTTTGGTTTACACCCTGACCTTTTGACTTGACAGGCCTGGTGAGTGATGCTATAGAAAAGCAGAGCTATCCTTCCTTGACCGGAGAGCTACAGGATTAAAAGGGATCAAGATCATGTCAAACTAGCCAGCATACGCAAATGTCACTTATGACAGAATAAGAAGTGCTCCTGCTTTACTGCCTTCGACATTTGGTAAAAAGGTGATCCACTCTGACCTAACAAGGCTTGCACCAGTATATAATTTGCATATAGTGCATCAGGGTCTGATATGGCCTTTTTGGACCACCTTACCAAAACCAAGACTCAGCAGCTGAGTGACACACCCACACAGCCTCAAATGGGGGCCCTTTGGTTGTGCTACGACATGTCACATTTTCCATTTTCAGCCTCCCAGCCCATGTCTGCCACATTTCAACATGAGTCTACCCCTCTGGGCTCCTTGCCTCCTGCAGCCTCCAACTCTTCACCAAACTCTGATTGCTTTTTTTTTTTTTTAGTTCTCTTCATTCCTCATTAATTTCAAAATTCAGCCAAACGTCTATATATTTTTGTTCTCCCTACCTCCTTCACCATTTTTTTATTACCCTTCTCCTCTCTTCTCCTTCATTCCTCCTCTCTCCTAGCAGCCTTGGTTTCCAGCTGCAGACACTCAGAGCAGACACAGCACACTAGCCCACATCAAGGCTGCACTACTGGCACTCCTGTGCATGTATGCATGTGTGTGTGTGCGTGTGTGTGTGTGTGTGTGTGTGTGTGTGTGTGTGTAGGTGTGTGTCTGGAGCAGTCGTTACAGTGAAGCCACACTGGGTTGTCATAGGCCCATTTGATATACTATAGGCTACCATCCATACTGATTTCTCAC